GTCTTATCATTTTCACTCTGACTTGAGATATTGTGTGGAGGTGTCTTTTGTATTGGTGTCTCTTGATTTTCTTTTTCAACTGAGTTAGTTGTTTTGCTTTTTTTTTATTTTTCCTCATACTGCCTTCACAAGTGGGTTCTGGAGGTGTTTCTCTGCGTCTTTTTTTCTCTGCAGTGAGGGCAAAAGCCCCTATTTCTTGTTATCCTGAGACTTGCTTGTGTGAATATTCTTATGTATTGTGTCTTGTTGAAATTTACTCTTTCTCGACTGATGTGGTCAGGAGAGAGTGTATGTAGATCCCTAAATGAGTACTTTTTTATAGTTACCAATAGAAATTATTACCATAATCTTTGAAAATTGCCAATTCAAGATTTTAATAATATAAGAAATCTTGTTATTGTCTGTGATTTCTTTTTGAAATTTGTTAAATAGCATATTGTATCTTCTCTTCTTGTTGAACAAAAAGACCAATATTTTTATAGTAACGCATATCATCAAAATATTCAGATTTTTGTCTTGTTTAAAAAATTTAAATATTATCATGAAACTATTAAAGGAAAGAAGAAGCGAAAATATAAGATCAAGAAGTATCTTATTCTGAAAAATCAATTAATATTGCTTGACAAATTATGTTATATTTATAATTTAGAAGAAAATTATATCTATAATATCAAGAAGGGTGGATTTTAATTAGATATTGACAAGAAATTAATTTCTGAAACATTGTTTTGGACTCCAATGTGATATCATTATTGTTACAAAAAAATATTTATATTTGACACATTTGTTTACAAGAAATTACATGAGAAAAATGAGATTCAATATTTTGAATTAGATACTAGTAATGCTTTAACCTGGGATGACAAGGTGGAGCAAAACTTACAGGTGTTAAAAGACTGTACGAACATGCAAACGGAGGAGAATACAGAAGAAGAACACGTACCAACACGTATATCTAGTGAAATAGCCGAAGTAAACAAAGAAACATCAAAACAAAGACACGTTCTAAATGATAACTGTGCAGAAAACACAGATATCCTGCTTGAGGAAAGTGTTGCCCAACCGCAGTCAGACAAAGATAAGGACAAAGCCAAAGAAACCAGCCTAGCTAGACAAGAAAAAACATGAGACTCCCTTTTTCTATGCTTAAAGAGAGGACACTTCACATACGCATCTTTCTCTCCAAGACAGAATATTAGATCGAACAATGAAAATGTCCTCATATTTAATATACAAGGAATTCAGGCCTCGTTCAATGAAATTATGACCTCACTGTTCAAACAAGTTAAAAATGATGTTAGTGCTGCTAAACAACACCTCACAAAAGGATCTCGTACCCACTTAGAAGTGGCATTC